GGGACCCCCAAAGAAATATGTTGGCGGGAAACGATTTCGCGAACTAGGCAACGTAGAAAGCTGAAAATTTGCAGGCCTGTTGAAGGAGCTCACGTTAGCCTTTTTGGACCGACTGTATTAGCCACAGCTACTTGTCGGTGCTAATATTTTCAAACTTCTGCGTGTGTGCGTCGTCGCTGTGATGTTTAGGCGAAAACAAAACTTTATTATGCCTGTTGGAGCAACAGAACTGTAAGAGCAAAATGAGTAAGAACATCTTTGTTTCGAGTCAGGTTAATAAGAGGCTCAAGAGGGCGAAAAAAGAGACATCCTTCAAAACAAAAAGAGATGACTCATGAGCTGCTAATTTAGAACTGTTGCTAACTTTCCTTTAAAGCAAACCACCCTTGCTTATATACTCCCATTCAACTATCCCGAGGATGGAAGAAAAGCTTTTATCTTTCAGCTGGCATAGACCTGCAACCGATACCAGTTTATCAGCAGACCAAATTGCTGCTTTTACTACAAAAACTTGATAAAAACAATGACACAAATCGTGATCCTCGAAGCATCGAACAGTAACAAATTTAACACAACGAGAAAACAAAAACAGTTTAGAAATGATGCGCAGTGAGGGAGAGTTTCTAAGAGCAGTAAATTTAGTCGTAATTTACCTTTTTGCCTGTACCTGAATATTTCAAAACTGAGGAAAAATTCTTTCAAAAAAACTCGTCTGGTTATAATTTACCTGTGTCTGAACACTTGAAACAGCTGCTAATTCACCGTTAATTCACATTCGGAACATTCTCCAATGGAGTAGTCGGCCATCATATCACCGAAATCAATCCTAAGTTCTTCGCATGTATCCTCTTCTATACGCTGAATGATCGGCACGTTGGTGGCCTGCCAACTGTTCTTTGCATATAACGTGGAAATTAGGAAAAGGGTGATAGACCAAAAGGTGACGGCTCTAATCTTTTTTCTCCATCCTTTTTACAAAATTAATGACAAGAGGCTTTGTCCATTGCTAGTAACCAATGAATCAGTAAATTGTAAAAAATTAAATTTTTCCGACACTAGTTTTGGAGTAGATCACAATATACGTCTTTGTACTTGCTTAAAAGAAGATGTCAGAGATAATAACTTCTTCAGAGAGTTCAAATATAATTCACCGAAGGGAGTCTTATAGGGCTCATGTTTTTATCAATTCGTGTTTCTTTCACTGTAGTAACGCTAATTCTGCTACTTCCATAGAGGTGCAGTTGGCTCAGAAATGCTTTTCGATAATCATGACTTCGCCAGAGTAGAACGTAATAAGTATATCCATAATTAATTACCACCAGAATCGACATAAATGATGTTATATTGGCCTAGAAAAAGTAACATAATTGAATAGCAAAGAACATCAAAATCTGCTCATTTATTTTTCAGCTTTAAAGGTAGCTGCTTGAAAATTCATCTGCTAGAGGAATGATTATTTATGCTGTTTGCCGTTGTATTTAAACAACTTTTCTTCTTCCATTTTTCCTATCAGTCATCTCTTTTTGGATTGGTTTCCACCACTCATCTTCACATCCGGATGCAGGGTGCTAGGCCATGCCATGACCAGAGCGCCTATAGTTTATAAATACGGTATCTTGCACATACTGTTTGAGACTGCTACACCTTGTGCATCACACACTTTAAAAAACGCAATGTTTCGCGAGACTTCACTGAGGGGTATACAGCCAGCTTTTAGTCGCGTAGCTATATTCTCGCCCACCTTCGTGGCAAAAACACCGTGCTTAATGCCACCTTTTCCAGATACATGGTTGTTAACGTGCCTTGCTTCCTTGTTTGCCCCGCTGAAGTTCTTCAGTGTCGCAGTGCAACCGGGTCAAAAACACTTTAAAATAGTGGAGAGGAGGATCCAGGCTTCGACGCCTCAACAAATCTTCGGTCAACACCAACCGCAACAAGATCATTCAGCTTGAGACTATTCGACGAAATAATTGTCTGATAATGATATTTGAGCTCAACAGTGCAAACTGGGAATGGATTTACTAATCCTTATGGATTTACTATTGGATTTACTAATTTCTGCTAATTTTAGGGGATGGATTTACTAATTTCTGCTTTACTTTATTTCTAACTTGATAACGTGCTTCAAATAAACATAAGTCGCTGCAGTGAATACGCTATCTCGCAAATCACACTACACCAAAAAGATGCATTATCTCAAACCAAACCTATAGACATTTGCTCAATATAATAATTATCATTTTTGAAAATTTGTCAGCATGAAGAACAAACACGTCTTTACAAAATACTTGAAGTACAAAAAAAAAACTTTCTTGAGCTTTGATTAGTATGTTCTTAAGCTTTGATTAGTATCTTGCGGAGGTTTAACATTTATTAAATGTGAAAAGTAATAAATAGAAATCTGCTGTAATTTAAGTAAGTGAAACTTAATAAATTTTTTTCAAGAGATTGAACTTCCTTTAGCGTCTTTTGCAAACCACTTTCAAAGCGCTTTTTAGGTGTTTCATAGAAAAAGAAGTAGGCAAATATCTTTCTTGAAGGATAACTGATTACGCATTTCCGCACTTCATCCGGCTTCCTCAAACAGTCTACTAGGAAGAGCTCTTTCGTCACAAAGCAAAGAAAACTGCTGTTAGTGAATATTAGAACAATGGCTGACAATAGTTTCCTTTGAAAATGATAAAAAATTGATAATAAATAAGGTCGAGGATGATGCGAACATAGTTGTAGCATAGATAGTCATCAAGACGAGCATCGACTTGATAACGTGCATTCGATGTGCTGCACTGCATTCTGCTGCAATTCACGGCTCATTTGTTTGATTTCTGCTTACGTTACAGAGCCATTCAACTTATTAAGGTAGCAAGGATAAGAATTACAATTCATATGTTGTACTACAAATATGCACTAATATTGGTATGGCAAGCAGAGAGACCACAAGCTAAGCGCTGTGTAGAAATTTGGGAGGCAGTATGTATTCCATCCCTTAGCTATAAACACAGACAGTGCTCTGCATGCAAGTGAAATCATCAGTACAGCCTTTTACTGACTGTGCTGGAAATACATATGACTAGTATGTACAAGAGTAGAGTAGAAGGTAGTGATTGCTTTGCTTTTTTTACTCAGGCTGTTGCAAAATCAACTAATAACAATGGGGAAATAGGAGAAATTGAGCTGAAAGGTGTAAACTTAACTGCTGGCCGCTGAATTACATTGCGCCGTGCATTATTAGTCTAGATGTTAATTGGCAGTGTCGCGTCTCAGATAAATAAACAGCCAAAGCACGTAAAAAAACCCGGTGAGGAACTAATGAAAGCTTTGCCTAGACGTGGTGCTGTGTGCAAATGCCGTCATTCTGGGCTAATTCCAAATACTTTCGTTTTTCTTATCAAAATTATCAAGATCGTGCGTGCGATCATTTTGAGTAGCCTGTAATGGCTAGAGTTAAAATTCTATGAAGAAAGTGAAAATTTTTGATAAAAAACTGTAGAATTTAAATGCTTGCTGCAAAACTGCAATAAATAT